CTTTACAGCGCTGCACTCGCTGCGCTCGGGGGGGTGTTTTTTCACACCCCTGAGCGCAGCAAGTGCAGCGCTGTGAATTGCCAGTGTAGCCAAGGCCTTAAAGGTGCCACAGGACTCTCTGTTGCTTTTTACAGATCCAGACTAACACGGCTACCCCCTCTGATACTTGACACCCTTAAGAAGTGCCCAGGGATGTTTCTCTGCAGTGAAGGTGTAAGACACGGACGCACAGAAATAAGCACCTCACGGCTCTCAGCTCCTCACAGCTCTCACGCTGCTATGGTGCCATTACATCTTGGTACATCCCAGGCCCCGGGATGTGAAGGACCCTCAGTTTCACGTAAAGCACTGAAGTTTACTCAGTAGCTCTATGCAACTACAAATCTGTCACTGCTTAACCACATGCAAACCAGTTTAGTTAACCCCATAACACAAGTCCCTCCTCCCCCACCCCCACCATATTCTAACAAGGACCATGAACAGAACGTACCAGACCATGCTACTTTTCTGGTGCATAGGAGCGAAGGAGTTAAAAAGCCTCTCTTAGTCATACAGCACCAGTCACTGTAGCATCTAGGCATTGACCCTTTCTCTAGGGTGAGAAAGACAGGATTCCACCCACAGAGCTAATTCTGCTCTCTCCTTTATGGGGTACAGTTGCTGATGCTTGGAATGTTTTCAGGGTCTTTTTCAGTTCCATGTATTGTTAAAGGTCCCCTGTTTTTTTACTATTTGTTTTGAGCTTCATAGAATGAAGAGTGGGTTGTTTTCCACCCCTCTGTGGCACAGGTTTCTTGAAACCTCGTTGGCTGACCCTTGCTCATTACCTCTGCATTTTGGCCCAGGCCTCTTCCCTGTTAGATCTGACTATGACTATCTGCCAATAATGGATGAAGAAATCACGGCAGCATGTGGAAAAGCACTAGGTTGTGATGGAATACTGGCTGAATTGTTAAAAAGCATCGGGGACAAAGGCTTGAAAGCCCTGTCAGAGGTAAGGAGAAATGTGTCAGGCAGGAGAATTGCCAGAAGTCTTCACAACATCACCACATGCGTCTGACGAAGTGGGTATTCACCCACGAAAGCTTATGCTCCAATACGTCTGTCTATAAGGTGCCACAAGACTCTTTGTTGCTTTTTACAACATCACTGTGTACCCAAATCCCCCCAAAGACCGCCGCCATAGATTGTAAAGCCTACAGAACAGTCAGCCTACTGTCTCATGCCTCTAAGATACTTTTGTGAGTTGTTCAAGGCCAAGTACAAGGAAAGATTGATGAGGAAATAAGTGAAAGAAATAACGGCTTCAAATGTGGAAAAAGCATGATAAACACTATTAGGGACATGAAGCGGACATTAGAAAGACCGGCTGAAATTGGGAAAACAGTATACTTGTTTCATTGACTTCCAAAAAGCATGTGACAGCACCTACCACTACAAATTGCTCAACATATGAAGATTTGTGGGGACTGACAGATATGAACTCCAAGTAATAAAACAATGATACGGGAATCAGAAAGCAATTATAATGGGAGATGGAAATGAAAATCGAATAGAGATCAAGAGAGGAGTAAGACAAGGTTGTTATAGCAACTTTACTCAACATTTATAGTGAGTGTTTGATTAAATTAATCTAAGAAAGAGAAGGAAAACAGGTAAATAGTATTTGCTATGCAGACGACACACTGCTGTTGATTCAGAAGAAAGTTTGATGAAATTAGTGGCAATTATATATGAAGATGACAAAGATTATGATCTAGAGTTGAACATGGACAAGACAAAAAACTAGGGTCGTATGCAAGGATCCTGGGAAAACATGCATGAGGCCAGTGAATGACACAGTTGTACAGCAAGTGAGAAATTATTGCTACTTAAGAAGCATCATTACAGAAGACAGAAGATTGGATATTGAAGTTAGCACCAGAATAGCAAGAGTGGAAGAGGCATTCTGGAAGAATAAACATAAGATGAGCAGGGACATAAACTTGAAGACTGAATTCTGACTCTTAACTTACATTTGATGCATTAAATTATGGCTGTGAAACATGGACATCCAAACAATTGATAAGAAAGAAACTAGAATCCTTCCAATCTTGGTATTACAGAATTTTGAAAATATCACCGATAGACCACGTAACCAACTAAAAGTATTGGAGATGCTTGGAACTCAGCAAACACTAGCCAGAGATCTTATGAAAATAAACATTTGATTTGCAGGGCACATTTTAAGAGATTTAGCAGGCAACCTATGTTTGCAGGCACCAGCAGGGAAAGTCGATGGCAGAAGAATTGGAGGCAGAAAAAAAGATGACCGTGGATGGACGATGTGGTATCCTGAGAGGATCAAAAGGACTATCCATCTGCAAAGAGATTAGCAGAGGATTGTTCAGAACGGGCTACCATGATTGCAAACCTCCGGTAATGGAGGTGCCGCACAAGCAACAGAAGGACGACTATATGGCTGCAAGGCACTTTGATACCTCTGCAGCTCAAGAGGTGATGCATCTCTCTCTAAAAAATCAGATTCTATCCACGCTGAAAACAAAGGACACATGATCCCAGTTTCAGACTCTAATGGAGCGGAGCCATGCAGCTCTACAGCTTTGGAGAACGCTCTCCTTACCTCTCCAGGGTTCAGCAGCTTTGAAGGGCTCCACATGACCCTGCTTTAGCTTGTTTATTTTAAATCAATGCTATTGATCAGTGATTCCCAGACACTGGTTCATCACTAGCACTGGTCCCTCAGACTTTTGTGACTTGCTTTCCAGCTTCCTCCTCTCTTTACTTAGTGATGAACCTTGTGCTGGCTCCCAACATGCCACTGCCACCCACGTCCCATTCAGTTGCATGCACTCTGCTGCCACGGCCCAGGAGCTGTTCCAAACCACAGAGTACATGCCAACGGCTGGGAGTTACCCACAGGGGCAGCCCAGACCTCGGCAAGTGTGTCTGACCGAGAAGAGCTTACAAACTGCCATCTCGTGGCTTCTTGCCGGGCTGGCTTACCTCCTCTTCTGCCCATTCGGAAGGATCGACGGTGTGGGAGGGGACGCAGAACTGCTGGCACACCCCTCGTTTGTAATGGACCGTCTCTGACTGCAAGCTGGTGTCTTTGGAGAGGTAGCTGCCAATCAGAGGGTGACAGAGTTAGTGCCCAGGCTTTGCATTCTCACTATCCTTTCCGCAGTGCATCGGCTCACCCCAGCGAGGAGCGCTCCCGAAGAGCAGAGACAGGAGCCGCCTCCTCCCAGGTCTTCTGTGAGAAACCTGGGTTTGGTCCCATCAGTCCCTATCCAAGGTGGCTGAAGGCTGGTAGTTGAGGGTCAAAAGGTATTTCAGGCATGTTTTGATGTCCCACCAGCCATCCAGGATGGGGAGAGATCAACATGTGGCCACTCCCCTTGGCAAGGTGGGGACACTCTGTCAAGGCCTAACGGTCCTGCAGGGGGCCACCTGCTTAGCACACCTCAGCCTTGTGTAAGGGGAAGCCCAGCAAAGGAACATCTCTGAGCCCATACTCCTTTCTCTCGGGTGCCCTCCGCATAGAAGTGGAAGCGGGACGAGATGAGACTCAGGCAGTCTAGGACTCTCAACTCACTGGAGAGAAATAAAGCCTCGGGGGGCGCTGGGCTGGCCAGGACTCCTGGGGGAGGCCATGGTCTGGGACAGGCCTTGACACCTGGGCTGAGGAGTGTGGGGAGCCCACCTCTAATCTTCAACGGCAGCAAAACTGAACAAGCTGTACTGGGAACCGTCTCTGGCAGAGCTGTCCCAGTGCACTGGGCTTCTCGCTCCCTGGAGCAACAATCCTCCCGGGCAGTAACAGAGGGAGAGCTGTGCTCAGGCCTGGCTCTACGGGAAGCCGTACTAGCCAAGGGCCGGGGGAAAGCCCCACTCCTCAGCCCCCCTGGTTTATGGAGGAAATGCCTCCCCCGGAACCTCCTGCACTCTTCTCACCTGGCTACTCCGTTCTGGAATTCTTCGGTAGCCTGGTAATAAAGGGTGATGGCCACTCGCGCGTCGGTGTCAAAGGTGAACTCCACGTTGTAGTGGACCTTTGCTTTACTGACTTCCTCGCCAGGGGTCTTCACTTCCTCCGTGCACCTGGCAAATCACAGAGGGAGACAGAACTTACCCCAGATCCAGAAGCCCGTTAAACGCCCCCCGTGAAAGGCTCTGGAGCACAATGTAACTACTCTGGGGAAAAACTAGAGATTCCATCCCCTTCCCTCTGGAAAAGCCAATATGTGACGGAGCTGCATCCAAGGACCGGCACTGGCCAGACAACAAACCCCAGCCATGTCCAAGAAGAGCAGACACCAGCAACTAAAAGGCTGCCAGGGGGATGAAGTGGTCCCCAGTCCTGTGTAACAACATTACTGCCAGCGATTGTATAAATCCAACCACCCGACAACAAGAATCCGCTTCTGTCCCATCCCCCATGCCTCGGCCAGTGCGAGGCCTGACGCTGCCCAGCAAGCGAGGGCAAGAAGCTTTTTGGGGGTGGGGGTGGGGGTGGGGGTGGGGTGGGGGAAAATCAGCTTAAAATCCGAGGCTTTTCTGAGCTTTGGGCTGGATCCAAGGGCCGTGCATAGAAGCCCCATAGAGAGCAAACAGCTGGAGTCTTTCAAGTCATACTGGGCAATTCGTAGGAGACCCAGATCAGTAGCTTTAGCAAAGAGTGACCCGGCAGAGGGAAGGGCTTGGCTCCTGGGAGAAAGGAGGCTCAGGCCCTAGGGGTAAGGAAGGGCGACTCCTCATTAATGGAAGCTGGAGTCTGGCCTGCCCTTTCCGTTCTGCTCAGTACAGAGGACAATAGAGGAAGATGGATGGATGGCAAAGTGGTCCAGAAACCTGAATTCAACCCCCTGCTCCCCCACTGACTTCCTGTGTGACCTGGGGCAATTCTTGTAACCTCTCCATGCCTCAGATCCCCATGTTACAACAAGGGTAACAGCCCTGCCCAAGCTCCCAATGGCGTTGTGGGGCTAAATCCATTAACGCTCGAGAAGCGCTCAGAGGCTCCGGTGACTGGGGCCAGGGACGTGACAGATAGATAAAAGGTGCCACGGGCAGTGCTCCGATTGGAGGGTGACTCAAATGTAAATCTGAACCATCAGAGTCACTCCAGATGTACATCGGTGTAAATGAGACCACCCCCTGGCCCAATGTCATGAGGAGAACGCTTGTGTTGCACTGTTCGGGATGAAAGGGCAAAGTAGCGACTCACTGGATTTGTCTGGTCTGTTTCCCCTCCTCGGGGATTGTGTGCGCTCTCCGGAGCCGGTGCTATAAACCCTGGCATTGTTCACTGCAACGAAACCCACATTTGCATTCCAAGAGCAAGCTCAGCCTCTGTTCATTCTGAATGGCTCTGCCTCCATGCCTGGGCGTATGTGCTGCTGGGAGGAAAGTTATCCCAGGGGCTGGGCCAGCCAGAGATGTAAAAGGCAGCAGCGCAGGAGGCAGTCCACAGATGAATAGGCAAATGCGCCCGGCAGGAGAGAAGCAGTACACTCTAGATGCTGGACGGCATTTAGAGTCCAGTTTTGTGCCAAACTCCGCATTGTACAAAGAGCGTCCAACATTCTTTAGTTGAGATTTGCAGTTTAGCCTCTGGGGGGAGCAACTGAGGCCAAGTTGGAGGTGCCCACTTTTCCCAGCTGCAACAGCTCTCGATCAGGGACGCTCTATAAAACCCGAGATGTCCGAATATTAACTCTGCCACCGCTCTGAGACTCCATCGACAAATGGCAGCCACCCTTCTGAGCCTTTTCTAGCGCCTTCCATCCTCAGCTCTCAAAGCACCTGCCAAGCGCTGATGGACTAAAGCCTCTCCATGCCCTGGTGTGGTAGATAAATATCATCACCCCCCAATGAACAGAGAGCAAAGCTGAGGGGCAAAAAAGGAGAAATCACTTGCCCAAGGTCACGCAATGAGTCAGTGGCAGAACTGAGCCCAGAACCCAAGTCTCACTCCTTTACCTCTGCTTTAATCACTAGACCCCATTCCTACCCTTCCTTCTAATAAAGCCATTTGGAACAATAACTGCAAAGGCAGCAGTAAATTCCACGTAATCCATGGACAGGGTACAGAATGTTCCAGAACTCCCTTTGTTTGCCCAGCAGGTTAGCGATCTGCACGAGTGACTCGTGCGCGCTGGGAATGTGGAGGATGCAAGAGAAAAACAAGTTTGGAAGAGACAAAAAGCTGGTGCCGTGAAGTGTCAGTTCCACCTTTAACCCATCTCCACTCAGCTTTTGGGAAGTCACAGGTTCGTATCTCCCGACAGTCAAGGGTTTTGCAGGACTGTCCTGCTTAGACCCCCCCAAATTCCCGGCCTGGTGGGAGCAGAACATTTCCCATGCTAACCTTGCCACAGTCCACTTTAAGCTGAGCCTCCAGTAATGCTCGGGGCAGCAGCTTCGCCAGGGCTTTAACTTCCTCCTGGGCACGTGCAGCCCCTCCACACACGCCCCCTTTGGCTGCAGTGGGAGTCGGAGCCGCAATCCCCAGTGCAGCAGTAGCAAGGGCACAAGCAGCACTGGCCGCCCCACTGCCCACTCAGGCTTGGCCCCCACTCTCCAACCCCACCTTCACCTTTTCTTTCTCGCAGATGTTCATCTCCTGGCCCAGACACACGCTCCCCTAAGGAGCACCACAGGCAGACAGCAGAGAAGAATCCATGAACTCACGCCAATGGTGTCACCTGATCACTCCCATTTCCCTCCTTCTCCCCTCTTCTCTTTTCCTTCCCTCCCACCCTCAGGCTTCACTCCCCCATTTTCTCTCCCTCGGGTTTTTTTAAGAAGAGGGGAGAAGTAGCCGCCCTTCGTCTGACGCTCCTAGCCGGGCACTCCCTTCTGCACGATGCAGCCCCGAGAATCCCCCGGTACGTTACTGCCCATGTGAATTCAAACCCACCTCACCCCTTGCGGTTGCTCATCACCCTGGGAGGTCACCTGCAAGCCAGTCTCCAACGCGGCTGCTGATTGGCCACGCAGCTACAGGGGAGATCCCAGTGCTCAGCACAGAGCCGCAGCTTGGAGACAGTTTCTACTACATGGAACAAAATCACACTTGCCCCCCTTTCCGATTCCCACTCCCCCTCGTCAGCCATCTGAGGCTCTCTAAGCACTTCACGAACACCCAGCCTCTGTCCAAGGTGGGTACTGAACGCGCACGTCCCATGCAATCACTGCACGCCCACAGGATGGTGTCATGGGGCTCTCGGGCCCCTCGCTGTTCATTTGCGCAGGGCAATGGCGTAGGCACATTTTTGCACAATTCCCTCCTCCTCCTCAGGACTCTAGGCCCGAGGGAAAGCAGGAAGGGGATCAGAATTGAGAGACGCAGGGAGAGAAGGGCAAAGAGAAAGAACGGTTGCAGTGTGTCCCAGCAAGGGAGGCAGGTTAGAGAGTGGCTGGTCAGCGGCCTCGCCTCTGCACTGGCTTTCCTAGGTCACTTCTCCCCACCAGGCCTGAACTCTGCACTGCTGCATTGCATTTGGCTCTGATTGCTGGTTCCAGACCTGGCAGTGGGAGAGGGATTAGCTTGGTCTGGCTCCTGCTGTCACCTCTAATGACCCTGCAGATCAGCTAGGAAGGTGAAAATCCAAGAGGCGAGCCATCTGTCCAATAACAGGAGTGGGGGCGGGGCTTCTCCGTGGGACGCCGCCTCGTGGCGCCACCATTCATCAGTGGCTTCACTAAAATCATGCTTAGTCCTCTTGGTATGCCGACTGACGGGTGGCTCTCAGCACACCGTGCCAGAGGGGAGCTGACTCCTCCACTCCAGCATCTACTCATGAGCTTCCCCTCGCCAACCAGGTGTAGACGGGATTCTGGGCACCCCTTATTCCTTCCATTCAGGGCCCAGTCCCGCTAGATCCCTTCCTCGCAATCCCAAATCCCCTCCCAGCCAGCCCAGAGCCATGCACCTTGCTTTAACCCAGACACACGGGTAGGTGTAGAGCTCCCTCTGGAGGCGGTTCGGGACGTTACCTCATGGGTGGATTCGTCACTGCTCAGCTGATGCAGGTACCTAACTGGTTAAGCCATTGGGATGCTGCAAGCTGGAGCGGGGTTCCCAGCCAGACCACGCGAACTCCTACTGCTGCAAACAGGAACTTACTTGACTAGGCGCAGAGTGTCCTTGCGGATGTTGATTAAACTCCTGAGTGTCTTCACTGGCTCCTGGGGGGGTGGGGCCGCGTAAGGAAACTAGGGTGAAAAGAGAGAACATTGAAACAGAGATTTGTACAAGAACAGTAACACGTGCTGGGGCTTTCTGTTTGCTTTTTGGTTGTTGAGACTTCCAGGGTCACGTTTTCCAGTTTTCGCCCTAGCCCCAAGGCCCAGACACCTGCTTTGTCACTTTTACCCGGAAGCCGAGATTCGCAGAACAGCACCACCGAGCACGAGACCGCTGACGAAATCGCCAGCACCGGCAGCACTCCTCCACGCAAGCCAGATCGTCCCACAGAAAGCTGTTCAGCCGCGGAGGAACGGGACCCAGGACGACCCACTCCCTGATCCCAAGCAAAGCAGTGACCCAATACTACCCCGAAACGTCCCCACATCGTGTTAAGTGGGAATATAATCCCCAGACTCCTCCCACCCTGTGCCAAGCAGGGATCCAATACTAGCTCCATGCCACCCAGCCTGTGCAAAGTGGGGACCCAATCAATTCCCATGGCTCCACTGATGTCAAGGGAACTAGACTGAGTTGCCTCAGCTGAGGATCTGGCCCAGGGAGTCTGATCCTGCCTCGGTGCAGAGCACCCTCAATTCCCCCTGACTTCCATGAGGACGGCAGATGCTCAGCGCCTTGCAGGTTGGGGCCCTGGCTCAGTAATTCTCCCCCGGGGCTGCTTTTCGGAGCCGTGCAGGTTTCAAGGTAAGCACGATGCGCGGCCCAGGGATCGAGGTTCCCTGCTGGGAAAGGCAGAGCAGGTTAGAAGCCGAAGCCTGCGCCGGCACCGTGACGAGCTGTTGCTCAGGAAGAGATGGTGCACGGGGCTATTCCCCGCTGCACAGCACTGCCAACGGAGGAGCCTAGCAATGTCTCGTATGTGCCTAGGTCCCAGCCGTGTCTCCAGTCTAGCGCAGAGAAAGCATCCCATTTGTGCCCACGGTGAAGCACAGGGCACGCCCTCAACTCACACCACTGCATGGGGAGCGCATCCTTACGCTGGTGGTTTCAGCAGCTGCCTCTCTGCTGCCCTAGTCTCTTATGAAACAGACTGGGACTTCCCAGGCCTGATCCTGAACACTGCCCAGTGGGACAGTGCAGTTTCCCACCACCTTGACACGGGGCTGGCACAGGACTTTCACGCAAAACATCCTCGGAATCGGCCTGATACCAAGGGTGCTATCAACTGAGCTCCTGAGGCCCTTTTAGGGAACAGCCACGTAGATGGGGAATTTGGGTGCACGAGTCCCCAGCATCCACACCTAGGGCCTCACCCGGAGACACACTGAGCACCTGGAACTCTTGCGGAAGCCCTGGGTCCAGCTACTCTGAGGACAAAGTCCTGGGTATGGATCCCAGCAGGATCCAGCCTGCATCAGGTCATCTTCCAAGCGTCCGCCGCAGAGCAGACAAGGCTGCTCGTTTCCTGTGGCTGGACAGAGGCGGGTCAGGTCCCTGCGGGCCAGACCTCTCCAAAACGCCTGCAGCAGCAGCAGCAGCATGTCGTGCGCTTGCCTGATGCGACACCCGGATCTGCGCAGCAGCACTCAGCCCCCCCAGCTCTGCAAGGCCGAGCCTGGGCTTGTTTTTACAAATCAGGTTAATTTTTCCCCATGCTCATGACAGTAAGTGACTGACAACACAGACCAGAGCCGGACAGCATGCGCAGGGGCAGTGTGCATGGTTCCCACACACGGCTCCGCCCACCTAGCTGATAGAGCCCACCCAGCTCTGGGTGTCGGTACCAAGTTGTAGGGTGGCTTTGGTTAAGGATTTTGATTGAAGCTACCAAATTCTTTGCAATGCACGTGCACGTTCTCCTTTCACACCGGCCCAGCCAGACCGGGAGGGGGGGATGGCCTTTCCTCCAGGCAGCCTGCCAGGCCTGGGAGAACAGAACCCTGACCATCTGCAAGGCCAGGAAAGTAGCGGGGGAGCGAGACCTCCATCACCACTCAACCTCCCTTACCACGTTCTCACCAACTGGGGGCTTCAAGGCTGCATTGCAACATCATCTTGTGGCTAGAAGTCAGTGGGTTACTCCAGATTGACATGGGTGTAACAGATCAGAAACCAGCCAGAGTTCTCTCTCCTGAAAGTGACATTAAGGGCTGACAATCCAATGCCACTGCACCTGGGGGCATCCAATAATGGCCTATTTGTCTTTGGACTGATTGGGAAATTTCTCCCAGCCAGCAGGGCGATTGGAGTTCTCTGCTGAGAGTTATTGCTGAGGAGACGCTGCGGCTCTATTCAGACACTTACAGCATTCCAGAAAAATCCCCCTTTGGGTTGAAAATTTCTCAGGCTTGTTCTCTGCCCGATGTTGTGAAGACCAAGACTATAACAGGGTTCAAAAAAAAGAACTAGATAAGTTCATGGAAGATAGGTCCATCAATGGCTATTAGCCAGGATGGGCAGGGATGGTGTCCCTAGCCTCTGTTTGCCAGAAGCTGGGAATGGGCGACGGGATGGATCACTTGACGATTACCTGTTCTATTCATTCCCTCTGGGCACCTGGCACTGGCCACTGTCAGAAGACAGGACACTGGGCTAGATGGACCATTGGCCTGGCCCAGTATGGCTGTTCTTATGGGAATGGAGTGCCTGGTAGGATTCCAGTCAGGAACCTAAACTATCTGGTAGGAGGGATTCAAGTGCTGTCCAAGCTTTGGCAAACATTTCCGATGTGGCTGCCGTGGAAACCGCGGCATTGAGATTTTACATGCAAACCAGCCAGGTGGTTTGGTCGTAAGGTTCCATGAAGTGGGGTTTCTGCCTTTGATTTCCAGCTCCTTTGGATGGGGAGATAAAGCACCTTTGAGATCCTGTTCCCCCTGGCTCTCCTCCCCGCCAGCCTTTTGCCGGAGTCTAATGTGTCCAGCATGCTAATGGTGGGTATTTTTAGACTGCTGATGCTACAGAACACACTCCCTGATGAGGATCAGGGGGACAGAGCTCAGTCTCTGCCTGGCTGCTATGGAATGAATACAAATTTGCCCATTTAACCAGCTGCGCTCCCGAGATAGATGGGGAGGGATACTTGGTATCTCCGGGAGCCGCACTGAAAGGTGGCGACAAAGTACTCTCCCACCTCGGGAGGGCGTCTGACTCAGGAAGGGCCGGGGCCGCGGCATCCCGGAGTCACACAGGATCAATGCCTGGGGGATGGCAGGCACTGCAACCCTGTGTCGAGGTGACCTTGAGCGCATGAGCTGAGCGCTCAGGCTCGCTGCCGTTCACAGGGGCAGGGCAGAGCCTTTAGGTCTGAGATCACCAGGGAGTGGCCACTGGGGTGGAAACGATGCCAGATGCTGAGGGGCTTAGAGATGCTAGAGTCTTGGCAGCCGATTGTATTCTCCCGGGGCAGCTCTGCCATGCACTCCCCTGCAAGGTCCGCTCCTCCTCACCCCCCTTGGGGCACATGCAAGCCGCGAAAGGTGCAAGGGTTCCACAAGGCCATTGTCCGGCCCCTCTGCAGGACTTGCTGGATGCAGAGTTGGGCACACGCTGCACCATCCTCTGGGTGGTCACCCATCCCTGCGCAGCCCAGCAGCTCTGGAGAAAACTGTCTTATAGCACAATCTTCCCACAGCTTCTCCTAGCCAGGCCAGCAAAGAAGTGTAATCAAAAAACAGATCAAGGGGGCAAAGCAGCGTAAGCTGCACCACCCTGGCACGCAGTGAGGGCACACTAGGAGTGTAATTTACACTCATTTAGTATCCTGTGGGGGAGCAAAGCCAGGCTTTGCCCATAGCAAGGGCAGCTGCCAGTTAGCAGATCCTCCATGCATGGGCGAGCCATGCAGCTGTGACATTCCAATCTCATTTCCTGGGTGCTAACAGAGCCTGCGTTCGCTCTTTTGGTGTTTCCAATGTATCCTTTTCTCTCCAGCGAAGACAGATCTATGGCTGCAGACTCAGATATGCATCGAAACACCATAGACCAACGCTGGCGGGAGTCACAAACGGAACAGTTTGACTCAGGGATGCTCTTGGTGGTTTTGAAAGCATCGCGGACAGTTGTTCTGGGTTTATTTAAATTCATGGCTTAAAAAAAGAAATCTTTGGAAAAAACGGGGCCCATTCTGATCACATCTGCTGGTGTAAATCAGGAGTAACTCCACTGTGAGAGCCGAATCAGCCCCCAGATAGTTCAAAGATTTGCACTATTAGTTGATCTCTCTCTCTGTGTCTCTCACACGCACTCTCTCCTTTGTTCTAGAAGACAGACAATGCCGTCTCCCATACTGCGAGTGGCTTTTACAAAGCTTTGTTTGTTCCGACTGTGAGGCTGTTCAAAAGGAAACTGGAGACCGCACGCCACATTCACCTTTCAGCTTCCATCAGCAACTGCACCACTAAACAGCAGGCAGGTACCTGCCGCAGACACGCACGGATGAAGCTGCTGAACACGCCGGCTGGGCCTGATGCTCCCTGCACCGCAATAGAAGTGCTATATTCAGGGTACACGCATGCTTGGGAAAACACATGTGGGAGTGAACACACGTGGCTAGAGTTGCCTTTCTTGTTCTTTGCTAATTGCTACTCTATTGTGGCAGAGCTCAGAGGCCCCCATAAGGGAGGAGGGCTCCATAGTGCAGGGTATTGCACACACAAGAGAGAGTCCCCGCCCCAGAGAGCTTCCAGTTGGATTAGTTTAATTCTTCTCAAGAACCACTTACTGCCAGTTCCAAACAGCGAGCGCCAGACTGCGAACTCCAGGGAGACTTTTCCAAGTGTACATTTGTTGGCACCCAACTCTCAATGCAAGTAAGTCAGTGGGAATCGGGCAAAACTCCCAGAAAGCTGTGGGATCCCAAGCCCGAGAGCTGTGAAAGCTTTTCCTCTGCACAGACACGCTACCACCCCGGGAACGTTTAAAGTTATGAATGGAATCAGCAGGGCATGATCTTCAAACACCAACCCTGAGTAACGCTCCTAGTGCACAGGCCACGGTCCGGCAGACACTGCAAACAGCCTCCTTATTTGAAACGTTTTGGCGCCACCGAGTGGTGAAACTGCATTGT